TATAATCATACAACTTTTCATCCCCCTTTTCAACCCTTTACAACACTTTTTTCCAATTAAAAAATAACCTATGTCCTTTCTCAGGCTCTAAACTATATGTGTACCAAATTTCATTCAAATCGGTTCAGTAGTTTTGGCGTGAAAGCGAGACAGATAGACAGCGTTACTTTCACATTTATAACATTATATATTAGTATTGATTATAGTAAGACTCTGCCGCTCTCATAGCTCCAGCGGTTAAAATTCAAGTTTAAAACAACTTCAAGGGTTTCCCCCAAAATTATATTTGGATAGAAACATATATATTTACGTATTATATACGAGTACGTGTACTGCAATATTTTTTACTGTGGTAAGGTTACGCAAAAGCTTTTGCTCTTGCACAAATGGGGAATCTCATCCAGGGAATTACCACGGCCTAGAAGAAGACCGGCGTGAGGTGGAAGTATTGAACTGTCGCTTTTCGTCTGGTGAGTTAAGTTACCATCCCATATTTTTAAAGGTAATGTATCATATTTAGCCCACTCTTTTGGAGATTAAAACAAATTGTCATCGGTGTTGTAAATTACCAAAGTTGTCAAAAATCACATAACATCTGGCAACCAGGATTAACCTGACCCCCTACCGTCTTCGTAAAAATATCAGAAACACATTTTTTAAGTTGTTACTTGGGGCCTTTTACGAGTACCGACCGATATATGTTCCCGAGCTTCGAAACGCTCACACAGTTTTCAAACAAATCAAAATAGTCATAAATAAACTTTGCGATTGCAATTCATTGGCGTGTTTCAATTATCCCATTAAATAAAGCAAATAAGGCGTCGATATTATTAATAAAACACGTCAACGTACACTTCAGACCCGGTCTAGCGTTCACTCAATGCTGGATTAGACTTAACTGGAAACGCAACGCAGTTGCTATCTGTAGTAATTAGCGACTATAAAGCTAATAACGGCCCCAAAAGCCTGTTCGATTGCTGCGCGGCGGATTCGTACTGAGGTCAGCTCGGTGTCAGACAGCGGAGACATCGATCGGGCCTATGTTTCGCAGTAAACGTCGAACAGGGCCCTTGTTAACGAATGTAAATCGAATTAATTAGTCAAATCGCCGCTTATCTGCGGGCTACCGCCTCCTACTCGCGGTTGATACGACCCGCGAACGTCCACTTAGCGCTGAATGTCGGAGAAATTATATCCAGCGGCGTGCTCCGTTTGTTGCGTTTCTAATTAGCTAACGACGTAGATAGTATCAAGTTACCTCGTTTGATCTGCTATCGTGTCGCATCGAGGAGGGAAAAATGGTTTACCTGGAGAGGAAAACAGAAAAATTATAGAGTTGCTATATAAAAAATTTTGCCCGTATAGAAGAGTTGTTCATGTCTTTATTTTATAACGTCATCGTAGCGTAAACGTAACTGTGGTAAGGCTTCTACTGTAGGTCGTCCAACGGGCAGGAGCCCTCCGAGAGGGTCCCTCACAAAGACCACACTTCCACTTCACGCCGGTCTTTTGTGAGAGAAGAAGTGTTAAGCTTTCATGTTTAGCTGGCGGATGAATTAAATCGGACCTACTTTTTTTAGGGTTGGCATCTGCAAACCATCGGGTATGTAGATGTCTATGGGTGGCGGTATTCAATTAACATAAGGTGAACAGCCTGCTCATCTTGACAGCTTTTCCTCAGGTCATACAGACTCATCGTAATTTTTAGATAGAGCTGGAAGGGAAGATTCCAACAATCGGACAATTGTACATACTATTTTTCTTTTACTAACTGTTACAGTAATTTCTACCAGTACCTTCGTGGACAACGAAATTAATTGTTACAGACATTAAGAGTACCTTCGTGGAAGGCGAAATCTTTAGGCAAAAGTCAAAAATAAAATCACTAAGGAGTTGAAAGCTTATGCGTTTTACATACATATATCATCCAACAGGTTTTAGTGATGAAAATGTATGTGAACATAAACAAATCAGTGCTCAATGCGTTATTTACAATTCATGAGGTTAATTAATGTTTTTGGGGGCGTGGACTGCGAAATGTGCCTTTGTGTTTTATGTTTGGCGCAAGTGAAATGAGTTAGCGTATTATTGACAGATAATTTAATACATTCTTTATTGATCTAATATTTACAGGATTAAATCTATCTAAAATTACATATTATCTAATAAACCTAATCCGCGTGGCATGGTGCCAAGAACGCTAGCTGCATTTCCTCGCTGAATAGTTATGCTTAACCATTGAGCGAGAAAAGGACTAGCTCTCTTGTCACCAGCCGCGGTGTTAAGCCTAGGACATAAACTTTGAAAAAAAAATTGATGCGCGGGGATTATTAAACATCAAATACAGAATGACAGTTCAATAGAATGTGTGAACTTTTGGCAGAGAAGGTGGTGAGAAATTAGCTGACCCTGTAAATTATCTGACCCTACGAACGAATGATTAAAAATTATCTTCAATGACACAAGTATTCATGCAATTTGTACAATTTTGGTAGAATTACTTGTAATATTTTGTATTGGTGAAACTCATTCGCAAATACGAATAACGCATTTAATCGTTTTGGAAAACTTAGAGTTTGGATTACTCAATCTTATAAAAATTATAATATTTACGAGGGGACATTTTCTTTTCTTGTCGTGACTTTTCAAGCGGCAAACGCCGAAGCACGCAGCCTGTGCCACACGCTGAAGTCGCAAGTTCATCTGCAAATCAAATCGACGACCACGCACGCACGCGCTCAGTACCCTCTTACCGGATGTCGACGTTAGTACTATTAATACTGTTTACGGAATCCTTCAAGTTCAACTCGAAGCTTCCTTTTTTATATTATCTTTTCAAGTACCATAAACCAAAGTATAGCATATAGCTACCCTTTTTTTAATGTTCTTTTTTCAAGTACCATAAATCAAAGTATAGCATAATCCATTAAATATCATTTAATGTATGTTTTAACTGAAATATTGTTAGCAATTAGAAGACTACTAGTCTAATATGAAAGATCAACGAAAATAATACCTACCTATTATGTAATAGTATTATTACATAAATGGATGGATTACCTAATAACGTCGTACCATCAATTTAAAATCTTATGTTTCATCGTCATCTTTCATAATTTTGAAAAAGTAATCACAATTTTTTCTCCAAATTTTAAAGTAATCACAATGTTACAATAAAATGCATAATTTGGCAAGGTATACTTTTTACATACGATTTAATTTTTACCGTGGAACGAAAAGGTAGAGATATAATTGAATTTGCTAAAGTTTAAAAAAAATTCAAATAACTGAATGTCGTTCGAATTGAAACTGACTTCGATGGTGTTTTTTAACCGATCGGATGTATAACTTTTACAAATAATAATTGATAACGTTGAAAAACGAAATACGGTTCGATATCCAGCATTGGTTTGTTAAAAAAAATTCTTTAACCGATCGTCTAGCACGCGAGACAGTTAGCTTCGGGGCGTACAAATAGGCGCCGGATAACACGTGCAAAAAGCACCGTCGACGGTCACGAGCGGCAGCCGAGGTGTAGCAAGTAGTGTTGTCACCGTCGATACATATTTATGTCGGAATCTAGTGCTGTACTGTAAACGCCTGTTGGGTCATTCGCTCATCAAACGATTCGTGGGAAATATCTAGGGCCGTCGATGTGTGCAATAGTTTTAAAATATACAGTAATAAGTTTTATATAAATGATGGAAAGAATGAAGAAAAAATGCCTTTAAAATTTGTAGGAAAACGACGGACGAAAAGTTTTCTGCGGCTATGGAGGTCGAACCCACGTCTTCCGGATTTTCACCCAGACGCTTTTACCACTAAAGCTAAACGGCTGGTCGCCGTACACGCAGCGGCAATAAAACTTTCCCTCCATTTTTCTACAAATTTTAATGTATGAAACATTAACTTAAATACAGAAACTAGCACAATAAAAATTTTCTAAAAAAGAAAACGCTTCTTAAACATACATACATACTATTGAAGTTAGCCTCACCTAAAATTAATTGAATTTTGCACGATGAATATAAGAAAAAAATCCCAACAATATTAATTGTATCATTTCGCTTTTAATCCCAAACTAAATTCAACATTCCATCATTTAAACATTATTGTAAACCTATTAAACATCGTTGTAACCCTATTTATGGCAAATAAATATTTGATTTGAATTGAATATTTGAAAATAATACACTTCAGCTAAGAAGTTACATAAATAAAATACCAATCCGGAAGGATCCAAAATAAGTCTCATCACTAGACTCACTGCAATCCTTACCACGTAGGCACCGGCTCGTTATTACCCGCCAATAATCGAGGCGCGTCACGAGCCAACGATAATAACAATAATATCCATATTTCGTATCCAATAAGGGAATAATGCGGATCGGACGAGGAATTAGGATGGGGCCAGGAAATTAACGGAAACTACAAACACGCACTACCGCTTCAGCGTCATTAGATTATCGAAGATCGAACAAAAGTTATTATACTTTTCAATTTTTCTCACATTGTCGTTCGGGTGAAAAAAAATTTTTTAACCGACTTCAAAAGCAGGAGGTAAGAAAATACAGCCAAATGACAGTATTTTTTTATGTTTGTTACCTCAGAACTTTTGACTGAATAAAACGATTTTGATGATTCTTTTTTTATTTGAAAGCTGCTCCTCCCCTTATAGTCCCATATTAATTTCATCGGTATTGGATCTTGGGTTCCGGAGATATTTAGGGAACTTCTGAAAATCAATTATGAAATTAATACAGAGCGAGATATTTCAAGGTTTTGTTTTTCTTTAGTAAAAAAAATGATTATTATAGAAAAGATATGTATGTTGGTAAATCTCAAACGATGCGAAACACTTTGTTACATTCGCATTCAACGAGTGACAGAATTTATAAAACACGGCACGGCGCGTACACAGAAGGCGACGTCTTACACCCAACATGTGCCAATTAAATTCTGCCGGAAAAATGTAGTTCGGCCTCAAAACGCGCCTAACGATGGCCGCCGCCGCCCGCTCTTTTCAGGGCGTCAGTGTTAAAACTTTGTCGGTGCCCCGCGATTATCATACAATGCCCACTTGCGATGCGGCCGCGGTGACAGATACGCGTTTCCTGCAAGCCGAAACGGCCGGCGGCCATTTTGTTATGCGGTTTCGCGCGCACGCGAAATGGCGGTGGCCGCGCTCAAAGTTAATGCCACGCTGGCGCTTCGTAATTGTGGCCGAGCAGTTAGTGCAAACACCATTTATAGCGTCATTAAAGCGCGGCTACTCTGTTGTTCGTCGCCTCTGGTGCTCCTGAACAAATCGAGTTGATATTCTACAAGACAGGCAATCGCTTTAATAACACTTTTTTAGTAGCGAAAAACAAAACCGTCTTCGAATATCTCGCTCTGTATTTATTTTATTATTGATTTTCAGGAGATCCCTTCGTATCTCCGGAGCCCAAGATCCAATAGCAATGAAATTAATACGGGACCATATGGGAAGCCCCAGCTTTCAAATAAAAAGAAATCATCAAAATCGGTTTCCTCAGTAGAAAGTTCTGAGGTAGCAAACTTAAATAAAATACAGTCGATTGAAAACCTCCTCCTTTAAGAAAACCAACGAGCGTTAAGAAAACTCATGGACTGCTTTGACTGACATTCATATGGTGCAAGTTTAATTTTTCTTTCTTTTTATTCTACAGCAGTAACATTTATGTTAATTTTGTTTTTTTTTTTTAATGTAGTATGTATTACTAAAATTTATATTTATTTCATTTATTTGTTAAATTTAGTTTTGTTGTGTACGTCCTTTTTCTGGTAAATAAACTTATTTTCTTTCTTTCTTTTTTGTTTGGAAAAAAAAAAACGTGTTTGGAAAAAAAATTCTTCTCGATTTATCTACAACCACAGCGATTTAGCATGTGTTTCCGAAATGACTGTTCCAGGGTGGTTGCCGGCCCCAATATACGGACACAATTGTATACCGTTTGAGATATTGGCTATATCTGCTTACACATATTTATTACATGGTATTTGGTCAGGAGGCACGCTTGGCTCACCTTAAAATGTACGTATATTAATGACAAACTTAGTTCCAATGAAAGCCTTTATACACACACAAATAAAACTCGTTTACAACACTCAGAAATGTTGTCTATTAAAGTTGTTCCATTGTAAATGATTTCGAACGATCTTTAACTTGAGATAACTTAACTCATTTGTTATTCACATGTTAAATTCGCCAAACGCTTATCGAGCGACGTTAACTTAAGTCTATTATGTGCTTAATTCATGTTTCCATTTACTCCTTGAATACCAGCTAGTCAACTGAATGTTGTCCCGTAGTTATGCATGTAATTTACGCGAGACCTTTAAATCTTTGCTTCTAACACGATGTACACATTCATAAACTTTCGCTTCGTAACCCTAGTGAGGTTGTCCAGGTTTATCTATTCTGTATGTATTTCATAATTATATTTATTCACCTCAACACAATGTTTTGAATTGAACTAGACGCTTTTGCGTGAAAGAAATTGTATCAATTTAATAGTTAAAACACTAAAAATTACACTACAGCACGCAACAGGACAGACTTTTTGGCGCCAAATCCCACCATTTCGACGTTTTTATAATTTTAATATGAACATATTGTGACACACGCAGTAAACGCGAATCTAAGACAACACGTAACCTTAAAATATATTAACCGTTTAGTTGTTACGCTGAAACATGGGGACGGACACACATATAGGTCACACGACACTCCTTTTGGCTTCGCGGCAGTCGGGAATGAAGAGAAACTTCTCTGTTCACGCCACTCGCGTTAGAAATCTCGACCTTAGGCTCCACTACTCATGGCCGACTTATACCCGGCCAATAGAAGACTGTTATTTACTCCATCATCAAATGTCAGCCGCTGCTCGTAAGTCCGAATGATAATGTCATAAGTACACCTAACAAGGCACGACAACGTAATCAACGCGCGGCGATTTTGCAAAATTATCAGAGCTGGCGGTGTGTTTACGTGCAAAGATCACACACATCTGTTTTTATGGTACGGTGACAGCTCAATACCTGCTAGCTTTTGGGACATGTTGTGTGCATTGGTAAATAGCATTGGTTATTTACGGCTGGGTTAAAGGGTTAACGGCTCATTTTGTATGCTTTTACATCTAAAGTTTTAAGTATTTATTTTTATTTTTTACTTTAAGATGACATTATCCTGTGTTGTAAGGACGTTTTACAAACATAAATTTCACGTGGACAAACACCCAGATGCGAAACAACTATCTGCGGGAAACACAAATAGTTTTCCCCTGTGGAAATCGAACCCACTACTCCCTACACCGAAACCAATACCTTGGCAATGGCGCCACGGAGTCATTATTGCTTGCATAAATATGTATTTTCCTTTGCATTTCTTTTGTTTGTAACTATTTGCCTTACTTATTAAAATGAAACGAAATTTATTTATGCATTTTTATTTTTAAGCGGGTCTACTTACTTTCTATCCTGAAAAAGGAAGGTTAGCACGGGCTAGTCCACCCATATAAAACGCACGGCTAATATTCAGTGATAATGTTTGTAGGCAACAAGGAAGCAACTGAAATAATAACACTCGCTACGTCAACCCGCCCAAATATAAGACATTTGCAAATTAGCAGTGATAGGCCAGTCACCTGTCACGTTTAGATGCCGCGCGTGCTCCCTGTTGAGGTGAACGATGAAATTTTACACATACCTACTCTTCTCTGACACGTTTCTCACGTCGCGCTGTAATGGTGCACGTGGACGCGGCGTGTTGCGTCAGGTGACCTGCTGTTTCGACTTATCAGCGCGGGCTGTTCACGAAGGCTTCGCGTTCACGTGGTACGGTAGTTTCATAGCTCTGGCATTTCGGAGATAATTGGTATCGTTGTAACTCCGAATTGTATTTATTGTGGAAGGGGTCGGGTAGTCAGTCCCGACTACCACTGCGATCTAGAAAGATCTATTGTAGTCTCCCTGTGAAATAATTACACTCGTACTGTAGGATAACACTATTCCGTTTTGTAAGGACGTTTTGCATTAATGAATTTGTATACATTTGGGTAAATATTTTTTCTAGTTTTCATTTAGCACCTGCCATCTACTTTTCACCATGACAAAGGTTGACTAGTAGAGAGTGCCATTAGGCATTAAGTCCGCCCATTGTAGCCCTTAGCTTAAGGTGTAGCAATGAAGCTTAAATAAATAAGTAGATAAGTTTGACGTGGACAAACACACAGATCCGAAAAAAATATCTGCGGGTCACACTAATAGCTCACTCGTTTGTCAATCGAACCCACGACCCCCGCGCCGAAGCCAATAATTTGGCAACAGCACTACGGAGTCATCAACATTGAATTGGATGGTTAAGAGCATACATATTTCTTATCTCTAAATACAGGCAATCACGTTCATAATTCAATAAAGGTTGTCCGTGGGATCCTTGAAAAAAGTCAATAAATAGAATAAAATAAATAAAATGAATAGTCATTTGAGGATATCAAATATTGTTTAAGCGATTTAGAGTTTAGGCACACTTTATTGGAAGATAAATAAGGTAATTAATGTAATTGGATAGTTTAATTAAAGCCAATATTAACACAGACTGAAATTAGACATGACTAAGATATCACTGACTTATCAAGTGCTCAGCGGTGAAGGAAAACCTCGTGTGGAAACCTGCGTATTTTCGAAATAATAACAAAAAAAATGTTTCGTAAATATGTTAAATCCGCTACATTATCCCCTAATAGCCTCTGTACCAAATCAAAATCAAAATCAAAAATATATTTATTCAAATAGACGCTTGCGTGATCTTATTAATCGTCAAATTTTACATCAAAAATTATGGAGCTTTGAATCTACTGTAATTCCCAGAAATACAGCAGACTCAACTGGATTAATGGGTACGTTATTTAATAATAATTTCTTGTATTTACGCGATTACACATTATAAATGAAACTAATTTTACGGATTTATCGCGTTTATTTTTAATTTTAATTCCCGACGTTTCGAACCCTTTACAGCGTTCATGGTCACGGGACAGACTGAGGTGTTTGGACGTCTGATTGTCATAGTTAACCCGGGCTACCGTCAGTTTTTGAATTATTAATTTTGTGTCCGATCTATGCAGAGCGATCTGCGACAATCAGACGTCTAACACCTCAGTCTGTCCCGTGACCATGAACGCTGTAAAGGGTTCGAAACGTCGGGAATTAAAATTAAAAATAAACGCGATAAATCCGTAAAATTAGTTTCATTTATACGTTATTTAATATTAAACTAAAACTTATCCTTCTTATACTGGGAAGGGTAAAAAGAATACATCTAGTTTTTTTGGCATTTAATACAATATTACTAATAGTAAACCAGTGGATATGCGAAAGTGCACTATTCACGTCGTCCTTACGTCGTACAGAGGGGGCCTTTGCCCAGCGATGGGACCTTGTATAGGATGTTACCTTTTATTTCTTTGATATCACCACTTAGTTTGCACCAGATTGCTGATGTTGCACCAGCGCCTGTGCCATTATATCGAAATTGGAAGTCGCCGCATTGTAAAATGAGACGCGATAAAAACTGAGACGGACCCATTACCGCAGAACGGATGTCTCGGAGTAGATTATAATTTGGGAACAAAACCATCGATAGTCCGCAGCGGACCATTATAATATCGTTACACCGCCACGAAACGCGTACGTAATGATACGCCGCGAAATTAAAGTGTAGTCGGTAGCGTTGGTTGTTTCGTTTATATCTGACTAAAAGTGTCTTTTAAGGTGTTCAGTGAGTGCTAAATCCATGAGCATATTTCGTGATAGTGTGTTTTACTAAATAAAGTAGATGACTTTTCTTTGTATCGATTGTATTAACCATCTCCATTTGAATTTTAAAAATAATGTTAGAAAAAATGGTACATGTAAGCGGTAATACATTGCACTAATCTGCCTTTCTTCACTGGGCTCCGGTGACGCCGTGGTATTTCCCCGGACAAGCATGCCCCACAACTCTTAAATCACACCTTAAGCCACATCCAACTATATACCCGACGAAAACACACAGAAAAATCTATATATTAACACGTGAAGCAAAAACTATGTGTACCCCTTTACGAAAATTGCGCGGACGGAGGATTATGAAATTTTCCATACTTATAGTTTATATAGCGGAATGCATAAAAAATACAACAAATCAGTATACAAAACGTTTCACACACAACCTTGTGTTTAGCACACACACGCATATATTATACCCTTTTGTTTATTGTGTATTGTATTTGAGAATGTATGAATATCGTTAGAACTTATTATTTAAATGTTTTTATTATTAAGATATGTAGAAAAAGTACGAAAAGATTGTCGCCGCTGTGGGAATCGAACCCACGTCTTCGGCATTCGCGGCTTGACGCTTTAACTCACACTGGCGACAATTTTTCGTACTTTTTCTACATATTTTAATATTAAATCTTAAGTGCAAAGATTAGGACTATAAACAATTTAAATTTATATTTATTATGTTCGAATTTCGACCACTCAGCGTCCACTTGTATAATATGAATAAAGAAATACCTCAGGACATGTTTCTAACAACGAGCTAAGCGAATCTTATACTATAAGTACTAGGTACCTGATTAACATGCTTAAACATGCTTTTCTTTGTAAATAAATACATGTTAAACAACAATGTCCTATCGCGAACTTTGACACCGCACGACTGGCTAGGCGCCCCGCATTGGCTCAGCGAGTGCCCGCTGCCCAAGAGTGGAGCATCTAAATCCACCATGACAGGGCCAAAGTAAAATATTCGATACGTGCCTCCATTACCTCGGTTCATAAATAAGTCCTCCCCATGGGAACACCGTGCATATCTTAAGGAATCGTGACCAATGATAGATGGGCCATATATTGATATATATTCCCGGTTGGTGAATACATCTTCGCTTAGTCCCTTGCCCGTGCAATCTTACATTTACTTCGGAAACGATGTACATTGCATAGGTTTTAAATCGTATCTGATACCGAGGTATTCCCCTCTTAACTATTCTAAGGCATAAGTTTAAAGATCGACTTGTTCTTAAATATTTTCACAAAGGTCCATATCAAACTTAAAAAAGGTCAAACTTAAGCTACTAAAAAATAGCTAGCTATACTAGAAAATTTTCTAGTCGTAACTTTCTTCTTTCCGGTTCAAGAGACCATTTACGTCTAATTAGTTTCAAAATGATGATTACATTTTTGTTACAATTTTGAGTTCTTAATTGAAAATTGCTGATGATGATACTATATCATCAATATCATCACCCGCAAGACTTCCACTGTGGATGACATTTGCGTCTATTACAATTATAGTATACGACTTAATTAATATAAGACAGCCGTGAGTAGTATTTTCGCGGACTCTAGTATCTATGTAACTCGGAGACTGACATCGCAGATATTTTTAATAATCGAGACGCTTCGAAATACTGATGAAATTTTCCATAACTTGTACATAATTTACATTTGAAGTTTCTCATTATTGAAAATTCAAGATGAGTCCAGCCGAATGATTACATCGTTTAAAATAGTGAAAATAGCAATGTTATGCTATTACAAATAAATAGACGTGCACGATGATAAATCAACGTTAAAACTGGAACAAACGTTGTTAAATGAAATGAACATGTAAACAATTTTCCTTCAAAAAAACTTTTCGTCGTGAATAAAATTTTTGTTCATATAAACTGTACGCGAGGAAAGAATATATTATATGAACGCAAAAGTTTCTTTAAACAATCGTATGGGATACGAAACGCGAAATGAGCGATACCCAAAGTCCGCCATATATCGCTACGACGACGGACCTCACGGCGGGCACCGATCACGACCAAGAATACTTATGAATACAAATACTATATGAATACGTCCGCGCACAGAGCTGAATTATTATGAGCGTAATCAAATATTGAATAGTACAGCAAAATGTATTTCTTAGTGTAAGAAATAAGCTAATGCAGTCAGATTTTTACCGTTACATGTCCTTAGACTGTGGTTATATCGGACACAAATTTGAAGTAGCGATTGTATTCCGAATTGATTCCGTACTCCGAATATGGATTCGGTGATCACAGACCTCATATTAATGTCATACTACGACTAGAGTAACATTTTTGCTAATAATTGACACGTTTACTAAATGCATTTTTAGTTTTAATTCCCGACGTTTGGACTTTTACAGCGCTCAAAAATAAATATAAATGCGATAAATCCGTAAACATAGTTTCATTTAGTAATGTGCAATCGGGTACGTACAAAGTTATTTTTTCCGTTAATAGAAATCAGTATATTAAACAATAAGGGATTAGATTATTATAATTCATTTATATTTGATAAAATATGTACAATAAATGTAACCGCTTGCAGCTTGCATTTATATGGATCCAAAACTGGTGAATGCTCTTATCTTTCGCTCTCATAAAACGTAAAAAATCCCTTTCGACTCCGCTGCAGTGCAAAAAAGGGCGAAACCCTCATTTATTTCTTACGATTCACGGTCGCGTTGATTGCAGCGCCTACCACATCTGCCAACGCGCCGCCCGCGCCCGTATTCCAGCTGGGTGCACCGTGTCGGATTTTAGCGCTGAGCCGACTCTACCACAGGGCGATTTACAATTGACAACTGTCGATTCGGACACCGTGCGGCCGTTGTTCGCGCGGCTGAAACACAGCCTAATGATAGTCCGCGTTGCGGTTACGCCGTCATTAAAGCCGTCCCCCTCGCGCCCGTTGTGGCCTTGTGAGCGGGAGCGAGAGGCCGAATTATCAGGATCGGACGATGGTACGTGGTCTCCATTACCGCTGGTGCGTTCGGCTTTTGCGTGGCCTTTTCTCTCTGTCTCTCCCGTCTGGATTAGCCTCGTGGTCGAAGCTCAATTTCGCTTATGAATGCTAGACATGATGAAATGATATCGCTTAAGCGATTCCATCTTAGTTCTACTACAGATGTGACTGGCGAAATGCCGCTGGGTTTTAAGACCACCTGCTAGTATTATTATTTCCAACACTTCACTTTTCTTTTATTGGTAAAACTATGTCATAAGATTACCCTATGTCGTAGAGGATTAATTTCTAAATTAATTCTGAATTACAGTAGAATCAATTCATTAATCAGAATCCGAATGCTTCGCCTACGGTAAGTCTATCCGTTAACGCTAGTGTGCATTCAAAAGTACCTATATTAAAAGAATTTTATGGTAAGAACGAAGAAAACCGAAGTACCGTATTGACTTTAAAATATTTTAATAAACGTGTTCATATATTTCCTTAAACGATTGCTGAAGGAATCCACCCCAAAATTCTCTTTACTAAGTTGACTAAACGTAAGTTTTGCTTAATAAGTCATAAGCTGACTAAAACATTGAATGTTATTAAAGTCATTATCGTACATTGTGCATTATGGATTTTATCATGAAAAATATTATTATATTAAGACATAAAAACATACAAGATAAACACATAGACAAAATTTAACTCGCATAAAAGTGAAAACGAAATGGCATAACGGACCTACCAACCTAGAGCCTAGTTCCAAAATTCCAGCACCGGGAAACAACGTCTATTCATAACAAGCTTCATTCGCAAAACCTTATCCATGCAATTACTGTCATCGTCACAGAACGGCCCCCGACCGATCCTGTACTTTATCGCTACACGCTAAGTTTCATTTTGCTAAAACGTTCAAGTCGGCACTTGTCGCGTTATTGCACCGCGCCTACCGGATTCCGCGAACGCGAGGGACGAATGATAATTCGCAAAAAGCGCTTGGTGTGCGCGCCAGCGTGCGATGTTAATGTTCTTTCGTGCAAAAAAAACCCTATTGTTCTAAAAACCTCCTCTACGGGGACACCATCAAATCGTACTTAGATCGTCGTCCCGATTACAACGACCTCAATTTTAGTCCGATGCCGTCATCTGTGCGGACACACGCCATTGTTCTACATACTGTCAACTTGCTAGAATCTACTGGCTCGTTTCTCCTGTACTCCACGTATTACCAAATGCTTACTACCTGCTGATCTGTAGTTTCTTCTCTGCTCTATACACAATGTAGTCAATAGAGAGTGTAAGCACACTATACTCGTACTATGCCCAATAGCTATCCTTCTTCTTTCGTCTGTTCAAGTGGCTACCTCCTACTACTCTGTCTTACTTTCTAATTATTGCCCACCATAATCCAGCAGTAGTTATTTGAAAAAAAAACATTTGAATTAAAGGATATCAACCAAAAATAACTGACTGGAGTTAAGGGGAGAGAAACTGGAGTGGTGCTACAGGAACTCTCGTACGTACTAAACTATTAATTAGATTGATAATCAGGCAATAAATAATTAAAACGATCGATTATTGACCTAATATGCATTACTTCCTTATGATGAAGGGCATTTGTATATTTCAAGAATTCTAGTAATCTGTGGTACAATTAACCTCTAATTGCTTTTCTGGAAGACCTGACATCTGGGCAAATGGGGTCAGCACACTAAGATAATGGAATTCCATAGAGAGCCCCACCCAAATCAGATACTGCGTTCGATAGATTTCAAGGCACAGGTGGGTTAGGCCGCATGCACAACAGCGAATCGATAATTATCGAATCCAATCAAAATCAGCCTTTAATTAAATTAGATTTTCAATGTACCGTAAAACTGCACGTAAATGAGTGGGGCTAATGGAGTTGAACCAAGAATTGTATTAGAAATTACTAGTTAATAGCCGAAATTTTACTACAATTTAATGTTTACATATATAGTAATTTGTAAATGACAAGATACGCCAATATATACATATGTATACATATAATAAATAATCATAAAAATATATTGTTACATTTTATCTCATTAATATCACTTTTGTGATTGGTTTCCTCTATTCGATTTCTATAACAAATGTCCATAAGCATAAACCTAAATTAAAAAAATATATAAATAAATAATAAATATAAACATAAACTCTGATCGTTCGGAAAATAAGTAACAACAAAACATGTGAAAACATTTAAAACACTTGTGATACAAATAATACTCTCAAAAATATAACAGTGTAAAGTTTGAAGCTGTCTTTCATTTAAAGTTAAATTACATATAAATAAGGGTAAACGAATAAAAAATGTTGAAAAACGCAGTGTGGGGCGGCCACCCGCGAGATGGACTGGCGACCTGTCCAAAGTCGCGGGACTTCGCTGGACGCATGCCGCTTCAAACAGATCGAAGTGAAAATCCCTAGAGGAGGCCTATGTTCAGCAGTGGACGTCTTCAGGCTGAACTGATGATGAATAAAAAAATGAAGGAAATGACCACTATTACACGGAATAGTGATTTCCTGGAATTAAATTAAAAGCAAACTAACTCGTTAGCTTTAAATTTGTCTATTAAATAGGCGGTTAGAGTACATTTGTCTCATTATTTTAATTACATATCGCTGTTCGGCACCGTAACGACGACGAACCGAAGAGCGCGCGCGTGAAATTTTCACACGGTTCTAGAGATGACTGGGCCGGGTATCGCGTTACGCCGGTGTGCGCGGCGCTTTAATTGAAAAGGGGTGGGGTGGTTATTAAAATAATTACGCGCCGCCCCCCGCCCAATAGGGGCCCGTGGCGGCCGCGGCACCCAATTAGCGGCGGACGCGCCGGTGGAGCGAGCTTTTTGCCCGCGTCGACCGCGGCGCGATGGCGTCACGCGGAAATGGCGGGAATCCGCGGAAACGCGCGCTTTTTCCCAAGCTCGTCTATAGCCACCGCGACGCTAGCCTACTGATTAGATTTCAACGCGTCGTGATCCTCGTCTGTACTAAATGACTGAAATAGACTGTGCGGGATGACGAGAATAGTATGGATTGGTCCAGCTTATAAGTTAACCTATTTATTATCTTATAACATACATAGGGTATTACTTCATTACGTCGCTAAATTTAGACTTCCCGCAATCTCGTCAATGATAATGTTAACTGAAATCGTAGTAGGTTTTTACGATGATGTCTTTACATTAATGAAAATTATTTAATCATATCGTTTTTTACTGAAATCATTTATTTACAGAAACACCCAAAATCATAGGTCGATTCCGAGACATGCTTTTAGATATGAATTCATATAAAAATTTCAACTTAATTTTCTATATACGCACTAAAACAGTTTAACTTAGAGAAGTCTTTTGCCAAATATTTTAACGGGTTAAATTTACTAAGTACGTAAAATTAGAGTATTATTTAATTCATAACGCGTTTAGTTAAGATTGAAAGAAGGGTTGAATACTGAAATTAATTAAATACTCATTAATATTAATAAGTCCTTGCACCCGGAAATCTAATTCAGTGATAGGACAGATCTGATGGCAATAGTGACGATGGCGTGCTTTTAGCTACTAACTCATTAATATAACTAACCTCGAATTAATGAATTGCTTAAGGCACGAACATCGTATGCAGGTAAGTATCTGGACAAATAAATGCTCAATGGTCTCTAAATCGTCTCAACTCTACTTTAGAAGTACCGATTATAAACTATATGTGCTTCCCATAAGGTTGAAAATTCCATTACGCAACATCTCAGTACGCTCAGTCAAGTAGCCTTCTGTACCTTGATCCCATGCACTATAGCAGCGTCGGGTTTCAGCGGTTTCAATCACAAAGATCGTTTTGCGCCTATTAGCTTTACGTTGAATCTTAATTACGGAGCTATAGCGTCTATAATCGAACGTATCTATTCAGCTATCCGCATAGTAAAAGCTGGTGTTTTAGTGTCAAAGCTAAAAGTTACCTTCGTGATGAGAACACGTAGTGACATCGAGTGTTCTTTACCACGTATAAGGTGAGAGTTGAATTAGTACCCATGGAAAATGGATACTCGAGTGAAAGAGGAATGTAATGTAGAGGCAATATTAAACAAAAGCTCTTCAGTACATAATAAAGAACGTGGTCACCTAGTATGACATCTTTGCACCGATTTTAAAGGACCCATAAATTATATTATTCAATGTTTTGACTAATAAGTTATCATACACAATTTTGAGACGGTGATTTCAATGTGAGAAATACGTAACTACAAATCATTTATTCACGCCACTGAAATTTCAACCAGTGTACCTAAATTTCAATAGTATAACAGTAGGGCTAATGCCTAGGCAATTGTTAATAAAGCTTACTGTCCTATTTTATATTACGTGGTGATGTTGTATTTTACCTGCAACAGAAAGATATCTGTGGAAGTCTATTTACTCTTGCTTGACTACAAATTTAAGTCCTGCTCACCTGTTCTTTAATCGAAGTTTAATCGTTCCTTCTATCAATGTCGCCGTATCGACTTTTCTTCTGGCAGAAGACCGCGCATTGAAATTGCAAACGGACAAAGATTCAAATCAACGTAATTACTGTCCGAAATAACGAGACGTCGCGGTTCAAACGTTCGATTTTCGACTCCGATCTTCTTATCTCGAACCCTACGATCGGATCGCTCAATCGGTGGTCATTATCAAAGACGTACGGATGTGACAACCGTCTTCAGTCCTATTGGTTGAACTGAAACTCTAAAACGACGGCGATACGGTGCCTTGTGTATCACACCGCGCCTAGATGTAGTGAACGAAAAAAGAAACGCTTGAAGCTAAAATAAACTTTAAGCTAACGAAATAAAACTCGAGTACGTCCTCAAGAGAATTGTCAAAGAGTCTTCCCTATTAACGTCACGCTCTCGTCACATCAACGCCTTAGCATTCTGTTTGACATAGAAAAAGAGACTGTTGATTTGAGATGTGATAAAGTAATTTGCGATGAGTCAAGTTTTGTGTTAATAAATTTCTAAGCCTGATATTAACCTGTCATAACGACATAGAATCTACATTTTATCACGCGATAGTGTGTTTTATTAAAATATTTTAATAAGGTCAGATGTGTGATATCTTTTCTTTTTATTGTTTTATCTCATTATAATACTTATCACAGATATTTAAGTAGTGTATATTCCAAACTATTCATAATATAAACAAACGATAACTTGCACTTAACTTAAACAAATTTAGGTTTACAAACCGCAAATGGGGCGCTAAAAATTTTCTGTTCCTTATACATTGACGACTCCATGTGGTAAAACAAAAGCGATCCGGATGTAATACATGCAAAGAAAGTTTTAACTACTAAAACGCATTTCATTATAAATACAGAATCGACGTAGCTAGGACTAAAAGCGTAGACGTCGCCGATAAAGATAGAACGTCGTCGTCGTCTACGCATCGTTGTTAAAAAGAAAATGATATATTGAATGACCACTATCATATCGTAACAAACGGTCGACACGTTTTGTAACTTAAGTTGGTACAAGTGTTTAGTGGAAGAAACAGTCGGAGCGTCGCCGTCTCTACACGATAGCAGACCGGTGGACAATTTGTGATCCTTCATAACGAAAGGAACAGGTGAAATATGTCCACGAGATACGACCACAATAAGTATCCACTAAAAGCATAACGGATTCGATTGATAACTAGTGTCCGATGATCGTCGAAATCTGTGAATTTTGTTTGTGGCAACCCAAGTCCAGTTTACGAATCTTCATCGTAAGGTTATTATATGAAGATGTTATCTAACTATTGAGACATCGGAAGTGAGAAATTAGTAATTTTCATCAAAATGGAGGCCATGATATTGCGATATTTAATATAAATGCTCACCAATTGATTTAAACACAGCAATTAATGAGATTATAAAGCTGAACTGCATGCGAATCTGAATTTTATAAAACAATATTTTGCAACGTTTCTATACCCGGCACATGTTTATGGCATTCTGTAAAATATTTGAAATATCAGAAATGAAATTACATTTTTCGCCTTAAAAATTCAAATCCGAAAGATTGACCAGTAATTAAATATTCGCTAGAATCGGCAAAATTATAAAATATATAGTTCTTCTGTATAATAAAATCCAAAAGTTGTAACAAAAAGCATCAATGCGTAAATTATATATAGCTGATTAGTAGAAATATTATTCCATTACAAAACCTAAGTATATACCATTGTGCCTTACACCTAAAAAACCTGAATTTTAAACTTATACTTATGTAGATGACAAACTGGCTACTGAGCTACTTCTTCCAACTGCTGACTGACCGAGCGAAATATACGTGGCTGGGCTCGTACTGTGCGACATAACTCACCACTGGGCCCGTCATAAAGAGGGCTAAGCGGGGGGCATGATAAGCTGGTCATTTGCATACTCTACCGCCCGTGTGGCAAAGACCATGGCCGATTCGTACGATGCTAACGAGTCGGCTACGTAAACCAACATGTGTAGGAATGGGGATAATTATTTCTCCTAGCTAATGCTCGGGCATGTCAACTGCATGCCTTACAGCACTAAGTACCTGAAGTAGAGATGTAGAGTTAATTACTACCAATGCCTTCTTCCATAACAAATAGCATATGCTAATTATAGATAGAGTCATGAACGGCCAATATAATGGAGTCTGAAGAGATCTTTAATTGCTATTTTCATAATTGCTTCGCCAATAATTGAATATTGGACATCATTTTAAAAATATAAGACTTATTCAATGAGAAACTAGATCAAACATAGTAACTATACAAAAATCAAAACGAATCACGATCGAGACAGCATCCGATTTGGATCTTGAAATCTCAATACGTGTATCCGGGAGAGCAGTCTTTAAATAGCCAAATAGAGCTGGTAGGCAACATAGCGCACTGGACTGTCAAAGTGTCCCGAGATTATCCCCGGCTAGCTATTACTCACACATGTGGGCAGCCGGGCCCGCACGAGCCCGCTTTTTAATGCTAATCTTTTATAACAGATAGCGGCTTTCGTCGGCAATACATTACGCTTTATCGCCGCCCTGGGAACGGCAGAGTGCATAATTCGTCGGGCTTCGCGCTAAATTAAATTTAGCGGGGAACGCGTCACTTCGGGAGAGGCACTGCTACGGTGGATAAAATTCGTAAGTGACTCATAAAAAGTGAGCCTAAAAAGGCAGTGTGCCAATTGATACCGATTTAGTAGGCGTAAAGCTAATAGATAGAATATTAGTTTTTTTTTTTTTAAATAGGCCCCTTATTGTCGAATAACATTTGTCCTGTGTTTTAAGGAAATTTTACATTATTACATAAATTTCACATGGTCAAACACCCAGATACGAAACAATTATCTATGGTCAGTGGTCATACAAATAGTTGTCTCGTGCGGAAATCAAACTCACGACCTTCGGTGCCGAAGCCGCAACTCTTGAATCATCAAATAAAATCTATTTCGAATTACTATCCTACCTGCTAGCTAATAATTTTAAGTTCTCTGCTTAGTTAAAAAATAAAATCGTCTTAAAAGAAAAACAGTTTAAAGAAACGTCTAAACTGTGGTTGAACTGAAAGCAACGGATTCCGTTGTGCAAGCAATGACTAGCTATAAAACACGATAAAAGGTGCTTAGCCCCTTTCAAAGGATCTCGATGTCAAGTGCTCGTATAAAACGGGATCCTTCACTTGCACCGTTTAAAGTTACGTGCAGGTATAAGAGATCATGTCATAGATACATGAGGAAATGCTTGGGAATGTTGCGAAACATTTCATGCTCTTTTAGCCCTTGCTTAAGACACGCTAGACACTAAAACGCTAAGCATTATTGCTAAATCAATATAAATAGAAGTTGATTCAGCAGTAAACTGTAGTTACAATTTAATGTTAGTTGTAAAACTGACGATTTTCAAAGTATTAAAATATTTTATATCTAATAATAAAGTAAAGTAAACAGACCA